AAAGAGTCCGAGAGTTTTGGCAATGAGGAGGAAAGGCCGAAGCCAAGCCAACACGGATTCACCTGCCATCTTCTCACATCTTGTGGATGGAACCTTTCTCTTCCTCGTGTGATGAGCTCGTGTATGAAGCGTTTGATCTCGAGAACTAAATCAACAAATCGCCATTAATGGGAGCGGCCAGAGACAAAGCAGGAATTGTTTGACAACGAGGACTTTGTCATCAGGTGCACAGGGCACCATCGATAAGAGGCCAGTTTGCAGATGTGATCACTTTCTCTTGCATATAATAGAGCAAATATCGTGCAACCTGGGATGCAATTATTCATTTCAACCGACTGAGGAATTTCTGTCCTGGCTGACGAGATGGAAGACGTTATTGCCAGCTCAACCGATACAGGCACTCGTTCCTTCCCTCACTCTGGTGGACAAGAAGTTAGCATCAGTTCCACATGGATTTTCTCCGATTTCTCTTCTGCGACATGGAAGAGACGTGGGGACGAGATGACGGAAGCCGCACAGTGAGTTCCACGTGTTCAGGCTCATGAGCAGATGCCCAACACTATACAGTAGATGTTTGCTGAATGAAGCAAGTTTGTGTCGATCCTCGTCAATGGCACATGGGAAAAAATTTGATCGCTCAATACATTGGTTGCTCGATGGTCTACATTCCACTTGCACTTGCTTGAGCGCTTCTTTTGCTTATTTATGTGAATTGTGGAATATCAACCGAGCAACGTACTAATTTTTTTTTATTGCCCTGAATTTCTATCATATGTACTTTCGAGGAAAATGAGCAGTTCGGTCCAATTTGGAACCAAGAATTCACTTTTTGTTTAAGCATCAGTTATAGTTTCTCTCCTCTTTAAAAATACCGATTGGGATTCTTCTATCTATTTTTAATCATCTGAAAAATATGTCTCCTCTTCTCTTCCGTCAGTTCTCGGGTCCCAATTCTGTTTTATAAAGGATATTCCGTACGAGATGTTACTGCTCTTACGCGTGTCAATAGTTCTACAGTCGACCCCATTCAGTATGTATCCGCTCCCTCATCCGTCTAACTTTCTGGAGGCCGTTCAATGCTCATTTCATCAATAGATTAACGGCGATCGAAGGAGTTGGCTTCGACCGGAGCCAACTCTATTAATTTCTCCTCTTTGTCAGGCTTAAGGAGTCCTTAATACCTATGGACCTGCCAGAACTTAATGAATTTCTGTGTAGAGAATGTTTTGTCGCTGCGGATGCAATTCATACGTTCGACAAAAGAAGTTGTAACTCAAGCTTCAGCACCGAAGGAAAAGGTTGACTTTCGCCAATAAAAACAAATCGTGGATATCTGAGTACCGGAAGCACATAATCTGGTCCAATGTGAGCAAAATCCATAATAGTCGATAGTCGATAATACTGTTTGAAGAACCCAGGTCAACCTTGTCTTCCCCACCATATCAAGTAGACTGAATAACATGGTGGCAGTTCCATTATGGTCCGCATGGCTTTAGCAGCAAATTCCTCATGTTCCTTTGCGTTTTATTCAAATTTTCACTCCAGCAGAGCTTCAAAATGCGATAAGTAGTCTCCCATGAAGAAAAATTGTGCTCTTCATAAAGCATGAAATGAAAACCGAAGGAATGTATTAATACAGTTCACATGTGTTCTCAAAGACACGGGCTGAAAAGCTCACTGCTAGTCAAGACAGCCATATGGATGGAACTTATAGCATTGTAGGCATGATCTGGCATAAATAAAGTCATGAAAGATGATAACCTATGAGATCTATAGCATAGAATTCGGACTTGGCACGCGACGATACGAAGTGGCATATAAAGGATAGGAATGAAATAGTTTCCAATAGGATAGCTTTCGAAAACCGGAATTTCCTTCATGAGGCTATGATTTCACAGACCATGGGATGACCGATGGAGAAAGTCAATAGAAACTCATATATTCGTTTGTATGCTTGTCTTTCACATGCGTTTGCTCGACGAGGTAGATTTAGAACTTTTCCTTTTGATGAAGTAGCCTACCAAGTCATGTAAGCGGCGATCAAACCGTAAGGAAAGACGTTGAATTGCTCTGGCTCCAGTTTTTCTGTTACAAAGGCGAAGGTTGGTGATTTTAATCATGGCGGCTTTATGATGATGCTCTGTGACAGGGATATGAGTGAAACAAATTAATGAGTGAAGCCGACACGTCCCTCAACCGATCATCTATCAGCTCCCCAACCTGCAAGAGACAGGAATAAAACTGGTGGCTTCACAAAGAAAACACGAAGACGGTCCACAGGCATATATACCTTCATGGAACATTCGATGAGTCTGAAGCAAGGGAGCTGGAGTTGCTGCCAGGAGTCGCAGCTGGGTCTTTGTCCATGGCTTCCTCGATACGGAATTGCAGCAGCACGATCAAGTACGTGACTATCGTTCCAAAGACCTACGGAAGAAAAAAAGAGCCAACGGTGAAGTCGAAGTACGAGGTACATGAAAAGATCGTTTATTGTAATTTTCTTCTTGACTTTTGCGGCAAGTTGCAATGATATTCTTTTTCTTAACCAGGTATGACGGACAAACTCACGGAAGTCATGACTCCCTTGTCGAGAGTGAAATAGTCGGAAGCCGTCAGCTGCACCGGATGGGAAGACATCTGCAACTCGAACAAGATCATCTGAGCGGAGAGAGAAAGACGTTTGAAGGAAAGACATATCATTCAGTCCGCTGCCGGGCGAGGACTGAGATTCGGCTCGCGGGGCGCGAGGATGTACCTGCTGGGAAAGGCGGTCGGACAACTGGGTGCCGCTGGTCGTTGAGATCTCCTTCAGCTTCACCTGCGTCTGAACGAATCGAAACCATCGCAATGGTTCATTTTGTTGATGTCGCCATCAAAACCGCAATGAAAAGACGGGGGATAAATGCGGCAATTAATTTAGTTTCCATCATGAATTTCGAACTGAAATACCATTAAAATGTCTTCGTTTTTTCTGTAAAATTCATTTCACTGGCACATTGTCGAAATATGTCTACCCGAAATCTCTGAGTGAAAATAGGCCAGGGAATGAATGGAATTTAACCTTGGAAAATGACTTCTTACTTGTCTTCAGTAATCCATCCGCTTTAAGTGATTTTTTCCCCCTGCCAATCTGACTTAGAATTCTGTTGCATGCGCCTGATGCGCGAGGCCTACAAGCCTATGCTTTTTCAGGCCATAGGCAAGGTGGAAGGACATGTGACGATGCGTGCTAGTAGATCTTTTGATGCGGATAGGTTAAGAGANATGAGCAGATACCCAACACTATAGTTGCTTGCCTGAAGCAAGTTTGTGTCGATCCTCGTCAATGGCACATGGGAAAAAATTTGATCGCTCAATACATTGGTTGCTTGATGATCTACATTCCACTTGCACTTGCTTGAGCGCTTCTTTTGCCAATTTATGTGAATCGTGGAATATCAACCGAGCAACGTACTAATTTTTTTTTATTGCCCTGAATTGCTATCATATGTACTTTCGAGGAAAATGAGCAGTTCGGTCCAATTTGGAACCAAGAATTTACTTCTCGTTTAAACGTCAGTTATAGTTTCTCCCCTATTTAAAAATACCGATTGGGATACTTCTATCCATTTTTAATAATCTGAAAAATATGTCTCCTCTTCGCTTCCGTCACTTCTCGGGTCCCAAGTCCGTTTTATAAAGGATATTCCGTACGAGATGTTACTGCTCTTACGCATGTCAATGGTTCTACAGTCGACCCCATTCAGTGTGTATCCGCTCCCTCGTAAGCCGTCTCACTTTCTGGAGGCCGTTCAATGCGCATTTCATCAATAGATTATCGGCGATCGAAGGAGTTGGCTTCGACAGGAGCCAACTCTATTAATCACCTCTGTCAGGCTTAAGGAGTCCTTAATACCTATGGACCTGCCAGAACTTAATGAATTTCTGTGTAGAGAATGTTTTGTCGTTGTGGGTGCAATTCATACGTTCGACAAAAGAAGTTGTAACTCAAGCTTCAGCACCGAAGGAAAAGGTTGACTTTCGCCAATAAAAAGAAATCGTGGAAATCTGAGTACCGGAAGCGTGTAATCTGGTCCAATTTGAGCAAAATCCATAATAGTCAATAGTCGATAATATTGTTTGAAGAACCCAGGTCAACCTTGTCTTCCCCACCATATCAAGTAGACTGAATAACATGGTGGCAGTTCCATTATGGTCCGCATGGCTTTAGCAGCAAATTCCTCATGTTCCTTTGCGTTTTATTCAAATTTTCACTCCAGCAGAGCTTCAAAATGCGATAAGTGAAGAAAAATGAAGAAAAATTGTGCTCTTCATAAAGTATGAAATGAAAACCGAAGGAATGTATTAATACAGTTCACATGTGTTCTCAAAGACACGGGCTGAAAAGCTCACTGCTAGTCAAGACAGCCATATGGATGGAACTTATAGCATTGTAGGCATGATCTGGCATAAATAAAGTCATGAAAGATGATAACCTATGAGATCTATTGCATAGAATTCGGACTTGGCACGCACGAAGTGGCATATAAAGGATAGGAATGAAATAGTTTCCAATAGGATAGCTTTCGAAAACCGGAATTTCCTTCATGAGGCTATGATTTCACAGACCATGGGATGACCGATGAAGAAAGTCAATAGAAACTCACATATTCGTTTGTATGCTTGTCTTTCACATGCGTTTGCTCGACGAGGTAGATTTAGAACTTTTCCTTTTGATGAAGTAGCCTAGCAAGTCATGCAAGCGGCGATCAAACCGTAAGGAAAGACGTTGAATTGCTCTGGCTCCAGTTTTTCTGTCACAAAGGCAAAGGTTGGTGATTTTAATAATGGCGGCTTTATGATGATGCTCTGTGACATGGATATGAGTGAAACAAATTAATGAGTGAAGCCGACACGTCCCTCAATCGATCACCTATCAGCTCCCCAACCTGCAAGAGACAGGAATAAAACTGGTGGCTTCACAAAGAAAACATGAAGACGGTCCACAGGCATATATACCTTCATGGAACATGCGATGAGTCTGAAGCAAGGGAGCTGGAGTTGCTGCCAGGAGTCGCAGCTGGGTCTTTGTCCATGGCTTCCTCGATACGGAATTGCAGCAGCAAGATCAAGTACGTGACTATCGTTCCAAAGACCTACGGAAGAAAAAAAGAGCCAACGGTGAAGTCAAAGTACGAGGTACATGAAAAGATGGTTTATTGTAATTTTCTTAACTTTTGCAGCAAGTTGCAATGATATTCTTTTTCTTCACCAGGTAGGACGGACAAACTCACGGAAGTCATGACTCCCTTGTCGAGAGTGAAATAGTCGGAAGCCGTGAGCTTCACCGGATGGGAAGACATCTGCAACTCGAACAAGATTATCTGAGAGGAGAGAAAAAGACGTTTGAAGGAAAGGCATATCATTCAGTCCGCTGCCGGGCGAGGACTGAGATTCGGCTCGCGGGGCGCGAGGATGTACCTGCTGGGAAAGGCGGTCGGACAACTGGGTGCCGCTGGTCGTTGAGATCTCCTTCAGCTTCGCTTGCGTCTGAACGAATCGAAACCATCGCAATGGTTCATTTTGTTGATGTCGCCATCAAAACCGCAATAAAAAGACGGGGAATAAATGCGGCAATTAATTTAGTTTCCATCATGAATTTCGAACTGAAATACCATTAAAATGTATTCGTTTTTTCTGTAAAATTCATTTCACTGGCACATTGTCGAAATATGTCTACCCGAAATCTCTGAGTGAAAATAGGCCAGGGAATGAATGGAATTTATCCTTGGAAAATGACCTCTTACTTGTCTTCAGTAATCCATCCGCTTTAAGTGATTTTTTCCCCCTGCCAATCTGACCTAGAATTCTGTTGCATGCGCCTGATGCGCGAGGCCTACAAGCCTATGCTTTTTCAGGCCATAGGCAAGGTGGAAGGACATGTGACGATGCGTGCTAGTAGATCTTTTGATGCGGATAGGTTAAGAGAAGAAATAAACTTTTAATCAGATTTCACAAAATTGGAATTACCATGGTAATTGGTAGGATAACACACAGCATGATACTCTCAAATTAATACTGTTTCCATGCATGAGAATCCATACATGGTCATGAAAACTAGAAACTCATGTACAGGCCATGCAAGTTTACATACATGCTTTACCCTTTGCGTGCAAGTTGACCGACGCAAGGAATTCTTGCACCAGTTCAAGAGTGACTTATACAATCCTTGCGAAAGGATTCTTAAGGAAAGGATTCTACTTACATACACAGGGCAATACGTCATGCGAATCTCTTTTTTACTGTCGGCACCAAAAGAGAAGGAATAATACCTGCGTTCCGATGTTTCCGGCAGCCAATGTCACATGCCCCATCCGGAAGAGCGAAACGAACGCACCACTGAACCCACAGAGGCTAACTCCCCAGTCCTCCCGGAGGATGGCCGAAGCACCCAGGTAGAGCGTAACTGTCGCCATCACTGAGTTGCAGAGGAATATTAGGAGGAGACCCGGGCTGTGGAGGCCGCTGAGGGTGTCGGCCAGAGACGATATCTCCACGAAGTGGACCCGTGCCTTTTGCACGCTGATCTGGATCTCAGAGTCAGTGTCCGGGACGGTGATCGTTGAAATCTTCTGACAGAGTGTGAGGGTCGAGAGGGGGACGTCTCGCTTTGCGGTCGAGTGTAATTTGAGTTTCTTTGACAAGTCCTGGAGCAGGTGAACGCTGTAAATGCGGAGGACATGGCACATGTAGACGAAGATCAGTTCCGGAGTGAGAGAAGCCACGAGAAGGACATAGAAAGTGAAGTTCCCTGTCATGTACAAAACTTTTTCTTTGATTGGATTGTCGTGGAAGATGACGTCCACAGAGGTCCCCAGGGCGATAATCAAGAAGATAATAGCATAGGAAGAGAGCATGAAGCCGCCAACACGCTTCAAGGGTCGACCCTCCTTGGCATCGACGCCGATCCGCTCCTCCATCCACCGCAAGCGCTCGAGGAACGCTGGATACCTGCTCACATTAATCCACATCCCGAGATACGACACAATGAAAGAGACGATCACTATCCCGACCATGCATTTCGTTGCAATATCGTCCGCCAACATTACAGACAGGTTCCAGTAGTTCAACTTGATAATAATGGTGAAGATGCAGCCCAGCATGATTGGCAGGAAGAGAATGCTATAGACTGTCGCTGCACTCAACGCTCTGAACTGCAAGACATCCTTACTCTCCTGTCCCACACTGTGCACGTTTTCCAGTGGGAAGAGCCCCAGAAACTTGGCAATGAGGAGGAAAGGCCGAAGCCAAGCCAACACGGATTCACCTGCCATCTTCTCACTTCCCATAGATCGAACCTTTCTCGTCCTCGTGCGACGAGTTCGTTCACGAAACGCTTCATCTCGAGTACTAAATCAACAAATCGCCATTAATGGGAGCGTCTACAGACAAAGCAGGAAATGTTTGCCAAGAGGCGCTTTGTCATTAGACGCATGGGGTAACATCGATAAGAGGCCAGTTTGTTTATGTTATTACATTCTTTCGGATATAATTGAGGCTCATCACGAAACCTGGAATGCTTCCCTTAATTTTAGCCGTCTGAGGAAACGACGTTTCGGCAGACGAGATGGATGACGTAATTGCCAACTCCGCCTCTACAGGCGCTCATTCCTTCTCCCGCTCGTGCTGAGAAAATGGTATCAATAGCACGTTGATTTTCCCAGTTTTCAGCGACGCGAAATCAGTGGGTCCTTGAAGCTGATGAAATCAGCTCTGTGGATGCTTGCAGAGAGAGACACGGGTGCGTCAATTCTCGCGAATGGCTCTTTTCTTCATTATATAAAATATTTTTAAAAAATGTTGGACAATCAGTTGTGAATATAGAATCATTCCGATCTAAGGAGATTTCCATGGTATTATTGTTTGTTATGACAAGTTTTTACTGCAGCAGTGTTTACTGAAGAATATAATTACTAACAAAACATTTCTAGTCTGCAAAGGGGATTGCAAAGGAAAAAAAGGAAAACAATTGACATTTTTTTTAAACATACTCAACCGTTCCTAGCCATTGCACGCCTGATATCTCTATCGGTTTCTCGGACGAAGCTCGGCGAACTTTCTTCCATGAGCAAAAAAGGGAAACTGTAGCAGCGATTTTCCCTCAGTGAAGATGAAAAACGTCTAGAATTCTCTGATGATCTAGTGAATATACTCAATAAAGTTATGTGAAACTTTTTTTTAATAGTTACATGATCTGAACTTCACGAGTATTTTTGAAGGGGGTAGGTCTCTGGGATGAGGACCAGACCTGCAGGACATCTAGTCCCTCTTCTTCATTGATAAGGAGAAATCTCTCTTCTCTGAAAAAAGGTGTTACATCAAAGAATCATATGTGCAGCAATTATATGATGATATTAAAGTATATACACATTTCGCTTGGTCTATAACGAATATTACTTAATTCCGGGGCCCCTCCATCATTCAGCTAAAGGTCAAGGTCATCACCATGGAATCCATACAATATGTTCTCAGGGATGATAGCTTCGTTCTTCGTCAAGTAAATTCGTCAATAATTAATCACGCAATCATGAGGATTGCCTGGGACGACGTCCCGCAAACAAAAGGGCAAGCTTTTCAACTTCGCAGGGGAAACTCCCCCTAATCAACATAATTCATCTTTCAACATTGACGATCGTCGATATTCATGGACCTTCTGACGATGCAGTGCAGTTCACGATGGACCGCGAGAGGAAAGCAACGTCGTCCTCGGTATCCAGCATGATGCAGGACAAGAAGGAGACAGGATGTTACAGATCCGTTCCAAGATTTGATCGATCGATTTTCGGCACCTCTTGGAAGATTCTCCTCATGTGGATGTTCGCATCTGGGATCGGGCCGTTCGTGGGTGATGTCATCTTCCAGTCTCCCAACTTCCTCCGTTGGACCTTCTTCTCTGTCTACAATTTCCTCATCCTCGCATGGAATTTCCCGAAAACTTTCAATCAACTGAAGAACTTTTCTGAGAAGAACGCGTCGATCAAGACTTTCACCGAAACCCAAATCGCGTGCGTGAATCTTGTTCCAGTAATGAATTCCATCACACTCATGCTATGCTTTGTCAGCGTCCTCATCTTATCTGAATCCATCGTTCTTCTGCACGCAAAGTTGGCCCTTTTCCAGAAAGAGATCAGCTACAGAAGAATCGGATTGAGTTGGAAGGATTTCCTCGTCCTCGGAGCCCTTTTCCTCGCCGCCTTGAGTGCTGCGGTCTTCACCGCTATTACATGGTTGATTTTGGAGAAAGGCAACACTTGGAAATTCTTGGCTGCGCTGTCATCTGCTTCGCTCGTGTCCAGTATCTTGGTTCTCCCTTGTGTCCTGTACTGGTTCGTGTGTCGACTCATTCGCGGTTTTCTTCACCATGTACAAATGGAATGCAAGAATGACCCAAAGAGAAGCTACAGATTGTACTTGGAGATACGTGACATCGTCCACGTGGCCAATAAAAGCCTTGGAACACTCTTGTTCGTTGTCAGTGGAACCTTGGAATTCGTGGCCGTCGTTGAAATATTTTTCATGGTGCAAGCATTCGGGAGACGGGAATCTGATCTCTTGATGCAAGCAATTCTGTTCATTTTCTTCATCGGGAGCCTCTGTCTCGGTGGAATTTACGCCCTGCATTCCCTTGCATCGTCCGTGACCGAAGCCGAAGACCGACTGCGGACCAGCATCGAGCATCAGCTTCTCAGCAAAGAATGGTCCTACAAGGACGCCGTGGCGGGAGATTTCCTCCTAGCGAATCCAGTCGGGAAGATGTGGATGGGAGACATGATGGAGATGGGATTTCCAAGTTTCGCATACTTATGTGGAGAACTCCTTTCCTATCTCTTCATCCTCCTTCAGTTCGATGGAAGCACTTAAGAATTGGGTTCACTCATCAAGGAAAATTAGGAGTAAGTACTACTTGAAACTAATATAAGGGCTCAAATATATACTTTTCGTCCTGAAGCACTTTTCTCCACAAATGCAAAATGTTATTTTATAGCACCTTGCCGTGCTCACACAATGAACTCATGGGAACGAAACACTTTGCCCTTCGATGGAATTGACTGGTCTCTTTAACCCTCGCATTTTATCGGAAATAAACATATTTTCTTTCCTTTCATTGCTTCATTTTACTCAATGCGGGATATTAGGAACCGGACGTTGAAGCCTATCAGATTGCGATGCTCTCTATGAAATTCACCTGAGAGGTAAAATCCTCACAATACGAAAAAGGACTTTATTCTTTCTATTTGCCCAAAATCATTACATTATTGGACGTCCTGCACATCTTTGTTAACCACTGACTCTTTCCTCGATATGAAAGTAATTAAGAGAGCAAAATCATCGAAACTATCGATTGTTTGAAAAGACGGGATTGAAGACTGAGAGAATTTTAATTATCGTATTTTTGTGAGTAAAAGTACTGTCAATGATTATGTGCTAATTGTAGGTTATGAGTAAAATCGGTCGGTTCTTCTTGATCATCTTAATATTATCGACCCTTTTTAAACCAGGAATCTGAATCGACGCTTGCATTCCCTTCCACATCTTTTCGATCTTCCAAATGATCTTTCTACCAAGCTTGAACATAGTTCATTTTTGTGAAACACGGTACTTTAACGAAATCAGTTTGCTTTCGGGGTCCTTGCCTCAGTCAGCGAAAACCCAAGCTCGTCACAGCGCATGTCACAACAATTTTCACGGTGCCGTCTGACAACTTCGATCTTCATCGCAAACATCGTCACTAATCAATGACGCGGGTTTGCGAGAGATCCGGCAGGAGGAAGAGCAACCTGACAGCCGTCCGAATGGAAACCTCTCTCTGAATGGACACAATTCGTCTGTCGACGTGGACACGCGTTCATCTCGTTGGAGAGCGGTCGAGGATGGACTAGGACGCCTGGTCGTCCTCGGAATCAAGAATGAATTTGGGTCAGATGAGAAGCAAAGTCGGTGACTGACTAGGTTCGCGAAGGATTTTTTCTCGGATTGGTCGTATGAGGGCGCCGTGGTCGCGGATTTCCTCTTAGGCGAATCCAGTTGGGAAGATGTGGATGGGAGACGCGATGGCGATGGGATCCCCTGCTTTCGCCTGCCTCTGCGGAGAGCTCTTTTCCTCTATCATGCTTCTTCAGTTTGATGGCAGCACCAAGTAGCAAGGTTCCCTCGGGAAGTCTTAAGGTGATGAAAGGCCTGGGGTTCACCTGACGCACGCATCTCCCTCGCAACTTCCCAGCTTTTCTCCACGCATCTCCCCTAGTAGCACGGACACTGAATGAACTTCCATTATCCCGACTGCGAACATCCACAAGAGGAGAATGGTGGTGCCGAAAATGGATCTGTTATATCTCGTAACGGATCTGTCATCCTGGTGTATCTGTGACGGTTGCAATTGTGTCGTCNAACCAGATGCTTTCATGGACAGGCAAAAAGGTGGGGGGTAATGTTGACATTAGGTACTAGACAGTAAGGAACTGCGATAGTAAAAAAAAAAAAAATATTTAGCTTTAAGAGGGTTAGGCCTACCCCAAAATTAAGGAACGCTCGACCTCAACACGTGATATCGAAATGGGCGAAATCGCCTCTTCATGTCACTAACTATCTTGACTCTTGACTCTTGAGAGAATGACGAGTAAGGAACTCTTCGTGTCTGAAGTGCTGAAAGCTCAGTGCTTCATCTTCACGCACTTTTCCACACTAATTCAGCATATTATTTTCAAGAACTATTCTGTGCTCACACAAAGAGCTTCTCAAGGGAACCAGACACTTTTTCCTTTAAACGAATATTCTATACTTCATAATCCTCGCATTTCATCGGAATTATACGTATTTTATTTCACCGCATGGTTTCATTTCACTCAATGTGGAACCATCGGAAGTAGACGTTGCAGCCTCTCAGGTTACGACGCTGCCGATGAGATCTACCTGAGAATTAAATTCCTCACAACTCGAAAAGGACTTCATACTTCACATTAGCCAATAATCATTGCATTCTTGGACTTCCTCCACCTCATTTCCAGCCACTGGCAAATTCCAGAACGCCATAGCTGAGTGAATAAGTGAGCGAAATCCCGTCAGTGTGGAAGGATACGGTCACCTTCACAATCTATAAGAAAATGGACCCCTGGACTCGTTGAAAGTCCACCTTCTTTATTTTAAGCGGGTTGGTTTTTCATTACTCATGCACCATTCCGTATTGATGAATTTATCACTTGCTGGGTGAATCTCGCTTCATTACTTACATGTTACGTCAGTTACTCTGGAAAACTCTCCTTGCCCATTCATTTTTGAGCACGACTTGGAC